ACATAATAAAATCAAACCAAAGTGGAATAAAACCAATTAAAATAGAATGGAATCACAACAAGACTTTAAAAAAATAACAGAAATACAACAAAGTTTACCCTAGTACATCCAATTATCTTCAAAACACCTGCCCTTAACTTCAGACACAGTAAGTTCTAAAAAAACAAGACATAACATAACCAAATCTAACAAAATTATGAAAACAATGTAAGAGTTCAACACAACATGGAATTAACACTGTTTACTTCCTTCTCATTCTAGTTATTTCCTCCTTTATCACTTTCATAATGCCTACTGTAGTGTTTGCATCCCACTAACTTCCTCAGTTTTTTATGCTAGGGAAATAACTTAGTGTTCACCCATATGAGTTCAAATTGTTTGCCCTGAAAATTATCTCCAGTTGCATCCATTTACCTACAAGAGCGTCAAGAATATACTACTTTATAGCTGGTATCTTTCCATTGTATGAAAATTTCTTATCTTTGTTATCCATTCTGCAGATCAAAGGCAAGTTACTCTTGCTTTTTTCTGGTCTCCTCTCATGTGGAAAAATTGATTTTTCCCCTTTGATTTTCAGTTTATGAATTTCCTAAATTTAAATGTGTTTCTTTTATATAGTATATTGATGGATCTTGTTGCTTGATCCACTCTCACTGTGTTTCTGCTTATTGTTGATTTGAGGCCATCTGCATTGATGGTTGCAACTGACATAGATGTGTTCATCTCTGCCATGCTATGCTCCACTTTTTTGTATTTATTCAATTGCCTGTCCCACTTGCCAATCCTCCTCTGCTGCTGTTTGTGGAATCATCTTAATCTCTCTCTAGAATACCTTATCACACTCTCTGTAGGGTTAATCTCATGCTTCATTTCATTAGTTATACTTACAGGCTTTTCTTCATAGGTTATGTATCTCTTCCTTCTAACACGTTTTAAAATTCTGTTCTTTGTTTAATTTCTAGAATGTTGATTGCTATATATCTGAGTGTAAGTTTATTTTGTTTATGGCTGATTAGCTTCTCACTTTCTTCACTTATATTTAGGTCAGTTTCCATTCCCATGTAAGGAAATTTTTCAGCTATTACTTCTGTAAAGTATTTTATATCATTTCTATTGTCACCTTCTTGTTCATTTACATCTATTAATTTTATATTGTTTTCCTTTGCATCATCTTGAATTGTTACTTTCTTATTCACTGCTACTTTTTAAAGATCTTTGCTTTCCTGTTCACTAGCTGCAAACTTCTCTTCAAGGATTGAAAGTCTGTCTACACATTCATTGAGGAGGTTCTGCTAGCTTTCAATGAAATTTTTTATTCCCTGGTTATCTCTTTGAATTGAATCTTTCATGCATTGTAGTACATTCTTATATTGCACATTTGATGTTTCAGTATTTTTGCTGTTAGTCTATTTTTTAAATTATGTCTTCTTTATATGTGTTCAGCATTTCTTTCATTATGTTTATCATTTTTTGTCTTGCCTGGGATATTATTTCTGATCTGACTCCTTTACAAATTGATATACTTCCTTCTTTCCTTCAGTTGTTATCATTTCAAAAGTTTCAGTTGTATGACTTACTTTTTTATGTCCATTTCTTGTAGCCTTGTTTGGGATGAGCTGGAGTTTTGTGACTGCATTTTGCTCTGTCATTTTGTCTTTTTTTCAGCTATTCTTTTTGGGAAGTTAAAAGCAAAGTCTCAATTGTTTCTTGGATTGAAGATGGCTTTCTGTACTACAGAGAGTTCCACAGTTATGTGGGAGATACTAGCCAGTCCATACTGGGTTCCAAGTGGCACTCAAAGACTGCCCAAACAGAGGAGGGAATTGGGAAGACATTTAGCACACTCCATGCATCTCATCAAATATTCCTGGATGTTTGAAATCACTGGGAATGGCCTACTAGGTTCTGAGTGGCATGCTAAGGCTGAATGGTACATGGAATACATTGGATAGGACTGCTGCTCATGCCACGTAGTATACCAAAGCTCTCTGGCTTCCTGGGTTCTCTGAATGGGGCCATACAAGGTTCCAAGCATCGTGCTAATTCTGTATAGCTAGGTGTGGTTCAATGTGGAGGCCTTCAGCTCAAGCCACTCAACACCATGGAAGCTCACAGCTATTTGAAAGTCACTGAGTGGGGTGCAACAAGGACCCAAGTGATGACCCAAAGGTCCCTAAGAGTTTGAGGATGTTTGGATGGGCATACAAGGTTCTGAGAAAAGTCCCACAGCTACACAGTCAATTCACTGCAAAGGACTACAGCTCACATATGTCAGCTCCCAGCTAGTTTATAACTCAATGAATGGGCTCTATTTTTATATTTTTACTCTCTCCTTGTCCTTCACCCAAAGAACCTGCAGGTACACATGGTTCATACCACTCCACCTAGGTCCTGTGTCTCAAAATTTCCACCACTTTCTATATTCTCAACATGAGATGCATGCCTTCATTACACCACTCACAAGAATAAACTTAAAGCACACTCAAGCCATACCTTCCTGCACTGGATTCCAAACTTTAACATCCACCTCATGATGCAAAAGAAATTTACACTTTCTTATTAGTCACAGTCTAAGTACTTTCACATTTGCTGAAAAGTTTATGTTGAAGTCTGACTTGAGACAGACAGATCATGTTTGCACTTTGTTTCAAAGAAGGAAAGAAGCAGAGGTATGTGTGGACTTTCTTCAGAAAAAATGGAAACCTAGATTTTGCAGCTCTAGGAAAAAAATACCTGATAGCACCAAAGAAAACAAGCAATGCAGTCTTTCACCAAAATTGAACAACAAACAGGTGGCAAATCAACATAATCATCAATTAGAGCAAGATCTTATTGTTATATTTGTATTGAATTCATTTAATATATATTTATGTATTACAAAATAATACATCCTCTTTACTACACTGAGAACTTTTTGACTGTTATTAGTATTCTTTTTCCACATATCTGAACATTTTCGTGACTATTAAGTCTTCTGAAGATCAATTGCTCATTGAGGGAATCCTAATAGTGTCGTTATCAGCAAGGCCACTACCTTACTTTGTCTGTATATTTCTATTAAGCAGACCTCAGGCGTATGGTTTAAAGAATGTGACATCCTTAGATCAATAATCCTTTTGTATTTTGGAGAAGTGATTAGTAATACATTTGTAGAATTGTGTGAATATGGCTTAATGTTGGCTACTTGAGTATTCTAATTATTGCTTTGGTCAGCTTCTGTTGATTCATCTTGGAAGGACTATTTTAAGTTTAACAAAAATTTTGTCACAGAAAATCACAGCTGCTCCAAATCCCTATGACATATCTGTCTTGGATGCACAGTGATGCTGTCTTTCCTCATCATATTGCAACAAACACTTCAGAGACTCACCACTCCACACCTGCTATCATGAGGAAAGTCACAATTTAGCTACATAAGCAACGAAAATAAGCAGACCTGTCCCTGGGTGACAACAGCAATCTGGGAAGCCTTGGTGTAGCTTACTATTTGGAAAAGCTCACTTGATGCATTCCCCCAAAACAAGGTTCAGAGAAACTCAGGTTCTTAGTCCATTTCTTCCACTACATATAGGCAGCCAACATGGGAATTGCCTAGGACCACACAAGTGGTCCATCTGAAGGAAAATATTGAGTAGAGTAAGCAAAAGGCAATCTTAGACCTCCAATCCATACAGAACAAGTCTGGGAGGCGTTGTCATACAATAAGTTGGAAGTTACCCATCAGAAATTTCTCAAGGTATACCAAATGAAGCAAAGAATCAATTTCATGAGACTACAAAAACAATCAGCTCAGAAATAGTATCTCAGATGTTATGGATTAAGAACTGGTGGTCAACTTAATGCCAGCTGGATTACATCTGCATGGCACTGAGCAAAGATGCTCCATCTGAGGAAAGTTGCCAGGATAAATAGGTGGAGACGAAGGGAGGTGTGGAGGTGTTGAGGCATTAATGCGTTGAAGCATTGTGGGTTCTCCCATGAGTTGCTGTTTGAGCCATTAGATTCTCCTCGGAAAGCTTTGGTCCTTATGTCAAGCATTGCTTCCAGGATCTGGAGGGGAAGACATGTGCTGCTTGGTCTTCAGGATGAACTCGTCACACTGCTTCCTGGCATGTACCTGACTATACTTGTTGTCAGAGGAGCTCTGGGCCTCTGTGTCACTGAGGATGGCTGTGGTGCCTTTCAGGACAGCCCTGGTGTTGTGAGTGTGACTTCTCAGCTCCAGCATAGAACCCTCAGAAAACTGGCATGTATGTTTGCACCATGCCCACAACAGTAGTGTTTTAATAGAGGAAAATCAGTGAAGAATTCTTTCACAGGAGAATTGGAACCAAATGTGTCTAACATCTCAATACAATTATGAAGTAGAGTGCATGTATGAGCAAGAATAAACATCAAATACAGATCAGTGAATAAAAATTTCAGTTCATCAATTCATTGTGCTATGTACCAGTTATACAAATTGCTTATTATTTAGCACGACACATTGCCAAGTAAGAAAATAAAACCACATAAAGAACTATAATATTTAAGGTCAGATAGCAATGATTTCTGGAAGTATGACTGATAGGAAACAGCTTAGCTTCTTGTAGATTTTGTACCTTCTGTAAGAATTTGACACTATGGCGAGGGAAAGCAAAATGAAGAAAAGGAAAAATATATGTATACAAGATAGTAAAGATAATTATGTTAATTCTCTTGGTTCACTGAAAAGAAATTTTGTGCTAATATTTTTTGGACAAGTTGGCATGAGTCTACCTTGTAGTCTGAGTAACTTCTATGAAGATAAGACATAATATTTTAATTAGTGTTTCTCTCTGATTAGCCTGTTCAGAAACTTTGCTTTTTTATTTCTATTTTTCCCTTTAAAATACAAAGCAGTGTGAGGATTATAGCTCAACAGAAAAGCACCCACCTAGCAAGCATAAGGTGCAGAGTTTAATCCCTGGTACCAAATAAAATAAATAAATAAATAAAATTTAAAAAGCAGTTTGACACAGTTTAGGATAATTTTTATATTTTTACTGTAATATACCATACAGAGGAACATGATGTATTTCTAATATATAGATACAATTAAGTGAATATGAGTAAAAAGGTAATTTGTAACAAGCAAACTATCAAAAATGAAAAGATTTGATAATTCAAGATTTCACAATGAAATCATAGATTTTATGCAATGATCTCTAGGCATGCAGAAGTACAAGGTCAGGAACACAGGTATCAGTATTCATATAATATATAAAAATTATCAACATTCTTCCCATGGAAACAGATTTCTAGGATATCCTGCCATCTTCTTCTGATATATTTTATCAAATTCTTCAGCTTGGGCTACAGTGAAGTGATTTTTCCAGTCCCCCACAATTCCTGGAAAACAGCATAAAGTCTTAGATCAGATCTAGTAATAAGGCCTAAGACTTTAGTACATCTCATTGATCAGCCCCTAGGACCCATTTGACACAGAGAAAGTAGCTAGAATAGCTTAAGAACGGTTCAAAGCCAATAAATAGCCTTTCTATGGCTGCATGCCTACCATTTCCATTTCTGCCTGCACAGAAACAATTTTCTTCCTCTCACTCTCTTCCAGCCAGTCCTGTTTATAGTCCTTTCACTGCAAGCCAAACTCAATATTTTGAAGCATTTAGAATCTATTCCTTCTCACCGTGTTTGTTTTAACTGGCCATAACCAAGTCAATCACCTTTGCAATCTGGGTTAACATAATAGATTAAACTGGAATGTCCAGTTTTTTTGTGTTGGCATTTCAGTTTCTGAATGTGAATAATTGACAATCCAACATACCTTCTAGTTGAGAATTTCTTTTTGCATTTTTGCAATTGAGAATTTCTCAATTGCATTATTTGGTTCTATTTCTACTTGACTTAAAAATATTTCAAAAGCTTTTGTATTTTTTGCTAGAGTGTCATTACAAAGTGATCACAGGATGAGTTGGTGACTTAAGAAATAAGCATTAAATTTTTCACAGTTCTGAAGGCTGGAATGTTAGTTTATGGTGTTGGGCAGTCCTGGGCTCTTACAAGGGTGGTGGGGCAAGCATACGTTGTAGGTCTCTCTCCTTGATTGTAGATGACCACTTGGCTTCATGTCTCCACATTGTCCTACTGTTATGTCTGTGTTCTAATTTCTTCTTTTAAAAACACCAAGCATGCTAAGCTATAACCTGATTCATATCATTTTGGCTTAATTATATCCTTAGAACCCTCTGTCCAAATGCTATTGCATTCAGGGACTTTCCTCTCCGTGTGTCAATTGTCGAGTATAGATGATCCAACCCATTTCTCTTGATTATGAAGATATCTTTTTAAAGTTGTGTCAAACTCTATTACTAACAATGGCTGAGACTGCATGAACCCTTCCATATTCTAAGTTTTTAATTTTCTCTGAATATTGAACTCCTAATGAGTCAATAGCATCAAATTTTTCATCAAGCTCATTTGCTCTTGTGATACTAAATTTTTAGCTCTGCACTATTAACAACTTCAACATTTTAATCATTTATATGGTAAATCAATCCCACACATTTACTGTACTTAAAATTAAATTAATAGTGGATATACTATGTTTTATTCATTGTTCTCTGTTCAGTCCACAACTACTATAAAAAAATCATAAAAGCCCTATTCTGGGGAGGGAGATTTTCCTCTGTGTCATAAGTACTCACCTAGCAAGTACAATGTAGCAAGTTCAATCCCCAGTGCTAAAAAAGAATTACTTTTCTGTGCCAGGTACTGCATTTTAGAATAAAAAATACACATATTATAATAATTGAGTAAACAAAATTAACTAGGGCAATGTTTAGAAATTACTCCCTAAACCTACTTTATACACTTGGTTATGAGACTTGGTGTTACTAAGAAGTTGTAAAAAATTTAGATACAAGAGCTTTCCAAAAAATTTTTGTGTCACTGACAATGTGGCTTTGAAGGGAATTGTGGGAGAATGGAAAATTAAGGCTTCATTGGTGTACACTCTAAACATGAAGATAAAAATCTCAGTCATCTTAACTATTCACATTCTGCTTGGGCCAAGAGGAATGTCTTCCATGTCTCAGGAATGTCTCCTGAGAGATTTTGAAAGTGGAGCATTGTTTCTTACCTTTTCTCATAAGTGAGAAATCCTCATTAATAACATCATTAGGCAGCAGGCTGAAGTTGGACATTTTGTTTTCTTTCATGAAGTGAAAGGAGCTGTATTTGAGAACTAAGTCTATTTCTTCGGGTTTTAACTTTTTTCCTAAGAATTCACAAATCTTCTCTATAGTGCTTCTCGTGTCCTAGAAAAAATAGAAGCCAAAATTTAGAGGAAAGATGGAGTAGGAAGAACAGGGAGGTGACAAAAAAGGAGCTATCCTGATGACTTTTGTCAGATTGAGTTTTAATCTTTCAAATGAACTTCTCTTCAATTAATTGATTCATTCTATTGTTTTCTTAGTCTCAATTGCATTATTTGGTTCTGTTTTCCTTATAATTTCCTCTCTTACTTGAGCTTTGAGATTTATTTGTTCTTTTTCCTAAGCATTTGTGGATCAACGTTAGGTTGTTTGTTTGAGTTTGTTCTATTTTCCTGATGTGACAGTTCACTGCTATAAATTTCCCTTTTAAGACTGCGTTTTGTTTTTTTTTTTTTTTTTTTTTTTTGAATCACATAGTTTCTTGTAGGTTGTATAAACATATTATTTAATTGCAGAAAGTCTCTCACAGCACCTGCCTGGAAAGTATGATGTCCTGAGTTCAATTACCAGTTCCTAAGAAGTATTGTGGGTTCTCTTAAAGTTCTTCTATAATTTCATATGCCCCATTGGTTGTTTAGGTGAATTTAATCTAATTTTCAGATGCTTATTTCTTTTTTTGTGGTTTCCTTTTAGTTTATTTCCATCTTCATTGAACTGTGATAAGATCATAGATGTAGGATAAATTCAATTCTTTTGCATTTATTTAAGCAAGTTCTATGGGCTAGTTTGTGTTCTACTTTGGAGAACTTGACATGCACCACTGAGAAGAATGTGTATTGGGCTGTTGTGTGGTGGAACACTCGGTAGACATTTACTATGTCTGTTTGTTCACAGATTTGTTTTAGTTCTGATATATCTTTGTTGATTGATCTATTTGTGGTGAAGTATTAAGGTGCCCCATTATAACTGTGTTTATGCTTATTTGATTTTTCATGTCTACTAGTATTTGTTTTACGTAGCTTGCATACTGAAATTTAGTGCATATATATTTATGACTGTTCTCTCTTCTTCTTTGAGTTTTACCTAAACACATATGCAGTGATCCTTTTTGTATCCTTTGATCAGTCTTGCTTGAGGTTTCTTTTGTCTGAAAATAAAATAGCTTCTCTTGCTTTTGCTTCCTATAGATTTGTATGCTTGACTTTCAGGCTGTGAATTTCTTTTTGAGTTACATGTTTCCTGTTGCAGTATATTGTTGGATCTTTCTTCTTGATTCATTCTGCTAGTCTGTTTCTATTCATTCTTGAATTGAGAATATATACATGGATGGCTATCACTGATGCATGTTGACATATCCTTCTGTTTATATTCCTGTTATTGGTACCTTACTTTACCTTCTTTTTAACTATTTTCCCTGACTGCTGCTTTTTATTGATGTTATTGTAACATTGGCCTCCCTCATATCTTTTCTTAGAATATCTTTCAGAGCATTTTGGAAAGGAGGGTAAGTGGTTATAAATTTTATGTTGTTCTTCACCAAAGACATATGTTATTTATTCACTTATTTTGCAAGGTAGTTTTTCAGAGTACACCAATATTGTTTGGATGTTGCTTTCTTTTAGCACTTACAATATGTCCCTACAAGCTCTCCATGACTTGAGGATTTGTGTTAATAAGCCTGCTTTTATTCAGATGTGCTTTCCTTTATAGATGATCTGTTTATCTTCTCTAACAGATTTTAATATTGTACTCTTGTATTGAATTTATGGGATCTTGTTTATTATAGGCTTTGATATGGATGTTTGGGCATGACTATGTGGAGTCTGATAAGCCTTACCTATTTATATGTCAAATCCTTTATCTTTGGGAAGTTATCTGCTATTTTTTACATGAAGAGAATTTTAATACTATTGGAACTAGCTCTTTTTCTTGGTAATTCAGCTGAGTCTTATGTTGTTGTTCTTTGTTGTATCTTATACCTCTTGGATTGATTTTTTTAATCCTTGTTATTTCTAAGATATTTCTCTTTTTATAGTCAATAACTGCAATTCTGATTTCTAGATATGATAGTCTATCTTCCTTTCATTATTCTATTGCATATATTTTCAATGTAATTTTTAATTTCTTAGATATCTATTCAGATCTGTTTCATGGTTTCTATTGTGTTCATATATTGTGGGTTTTTTTTTTCATTTTTCTAGGTTCCTCTTTTTCTTTGTGTCTATTTAGATTCATTAAGTGTGTCTTTTATTTTGTTTCTTTTTTCAACTGAGAGATTAATTTTTCCATAGCCATATGTATTTTATTCATTTCTGCTGCTATCATTTCAGAAAGATCTAGTGTACGACTTCCAATTTTGTCTGTTCCATTGTGCTCTAGGTTTTATCTCGTTGGATTGGGTGGAGGTCTGGCCCTGCATTTTGCTTCTGTCTCTTGTCACTTTTTATGTTTTATCTTCTGTGTTGTGATCATAGAGTTCCTATGATGAATAGCTTTATCGCTAGTATTCGCATTCCCCTAGGAAGTGTCTATTTCCTTAGAGCTGTCTTCTAACTAATACTTCATTTATTTCTAACCTAAGATCCTAACTTCCCATTTTATTAAGGTTTAGAATTTAATATTTATTTGGCTCAGCACTCTGACCTTTGGTCATGAACAATGGTGATGGTTATTATCTCCAGTCACAATGTTGGCATACAAGGGAAAAAAGTGACTACAGCGAGTGTGACATCCTTGCTATGATAGTGCACTTAGCAGTAAACATGTCAGCAATCACTGCCTAGCAATTGATAAACTGTGATAACTATTAATTTGGAACCTTTAAACTTAGGAACAGGATCTAAAATGATATAAAAAATTCAACACATGCTAGGAGTTGGTATGCAATGAGTTTCCTCTTGCATACTGATTTTAAGCTGTTTCGGTGGTACTACGGAAGGGTAGGTAAAGAGGAGAGAGCTGAATTAGGAGAAATACAGTAGAAGCAATGCTGCAATGCTAAGGATGGGTCAATCAGTGTTTGGGAGGCTGGACAATAGTGCACAAGAAAGAATGAAACAAAAGGGAAAAGAATATTGAAGCAAAGTAATACTGAGAAAACGTTCATTTGCATGAAAATACCATAAAATTGAGAGTGACAGTTGAGGAAAGAGGGAAAGATGAATAGAATAAAAGAAACATATAGTTAAGAAATCTAATTATTCAAAAAATAAGCAATAAAATAAACCAAGAAAAACCAAACACCAAGAAACAAACCCACTAAAAAATAGCCAAATCACCCTGATAAAGGAAAACTAATCAACCAAAGAAAACCAAAAAGAGAATGAAATTCCTCTGATCCCCACAATTCTGTGGTAATGCCCAAGTCAGATCCTAGAGATGTGCTGTGTCGTCCCTCCACGTTTTTCATAGAATTTGTGCTGGCTTATGAGTCCATCTTGTCCTCTAGTTGTGGGAGCTAGTACTGGTCCTTAGATGACAGGGTTTTGGGTGTCTCCTTTTCCTTACTGTGTTTGCCTCTGTGATGCTATCCCAGTTGTTGTCACACTCTGAGTGAAAGCCAGGGGTTTCTCCCAGATCTGTGTGCAGTCATCACCTTCCAAATCTTGCACAGCTTCTTCTTTTTCACTCCAGTAGCTTGTGTTTTCCATCAGTTGTGAGGCAGGGGGGGATAAACTTGTCTAGCTCTAGGACAAGTGGGTTCCCTTCTTTCTGTGACTGAGTTAGGGCTGCTCTGTTGCTTCAGGCCATAAAAGCTTTTCTGGTGTCCTTTCTATGCTACTTGTGCTATATGTGTCTGTGTGCTGAAGAACAGCATGAGTTCACCTCACTCACCAACAGCTGGTCTTATTGGGCCCCTTCTGATACAGTGTTCTGCTTCCCATGGAGGTGGCAATGGTGGTGCACTGCTTGCTGGGAGCCTAATTTAAATTTTTGAAAATTCTATGGTTTTATATAGAAACTTTTGAATATATACATATATTAATGTTTAGCAAGTTTTGCTAAACTATGGCAAATTAACATATATATATATATATATATATATATATATATATATATATGTCATGGTCAGGTTTGGGTACTTTGCAAAACTTTCCAGTCACACAACCTAAATTGTTTGAAAATGTTAAATGCATTTTTATTGTGTCCTTTAAAATATACAATTAATTTTCTGTCAAACACAGGTATTTTTTCTAAGCTACAGAGTACTAGAGTTTATCACTCAAGTTCAACAGCATCCATTTGCCACCTTCAATATTACAGAATTATCTGATGTGCTTCCCTCTCCTGTAGTACTTTACCATTCTGGGTGTTCACATAAACTGATTTCACATTTTCACCCATTTTTTAATCAGTGACTTGGGAATTACCGACCACTGGACACATCTCTGGAGCTACCAGGTTATCAGGAGCCTCATAAGCCCTTCTCCTACAAACTGTCCCACTCCCTATAAGCACCACACTCTGCCTCTGGATGTGGAAAAATCCACTTACAAATTGTGAATTGAAACAAAGTAGAAAACCTGAGGAAATCATGAACCAGAATAAAGGAGAGCCACAGTTAAGAGAATAAAGACAAGAGCAATAATCTCACACTTCATGAATCTTCACGAGAGTGAACTTTGACAGGATAGTTAGAAAACAATCTCCTGAGAAAAAGGTTTAGAGGGAGTGCAGGCAGTGAGGAGTAGATGTGCTAACTCACAACAGGGGTTACCTTGGTAAGTTCTTCATAACTCAGCAGCAGGAAATTTTCCATCTCTCTCATGGACAGCCAACCCTGAACATGCTCAAACCATGATCCAAAGGGCACTGCATGGGACATGCAAAAGTAAGATAGACTACAAACTCTAGAATTAGGAGTCCCATGTACAAATTTCACTCTTTCCCCTTCCTTGTCACTTAGTTAAGGTACAATTTGCAAATTGATCATTTATATATTTTCAGTGTACACCAGGATTTTGATACATACACAAAAATGTAGTTACACAAAACACCAAAGGAACGAGATGCTTGCTCTTCCACCCAGAAATGGAAAGAGGGGTCAGCAAATAAACTGCACGATGTGTGTCTCATTGTTTCACTTAACAGTGTGGTTTACAGCTGCCCCCATTAGCCTCCAAATGACTTTAATCTGCTACACTGCAGAGAGGCATTTCATCTGGTATAGACACCATATTTTCTTTATACATTGATCTATGGATGGTGATACATGGTACCTCTAAGGTTCAGCTATTGTAAATTGTGCTGCTATGAACAAGGACCTGTATGTATCACTGTAGTATGATGATGTTGTGTCTTTGTGGGAGTCACGTAGGAGAATGTCTTGGCCATATGGTGTTTCTATTTGCAGTTTATTTATTATTTTTATTAGTGTACTTTAAAAGAACATGCAGCTCAAAATTACCTTGTGGAGTGGGTACATGTATATAATGCAACTTTTTTTCTTTTTAATCCCATTCTTTCCCCATCTCACTCATACTCTAATTCACTTTCCCATTTTCATTCTTGTTGATATTGTTAATTTAACTCAGGTCATGTCATCTAAGATTTACATTCCTTGAAGCTAATTTGGTTCCTTTGCATGGCATATCTTTATTCGGCATTTTTCCCTTTCCTTCATCCCTTCTTTTTCATCCTTGATTTTGTGGACAACTTCCTTATTGTAAGAGATCCATCCTGCTGTCTCCTTGCATCCATTCTTTATTATTCTCTTTGTTCATAGTTTCCCTTACTCAAATAAGAGACAGAATATGGTATTCAAGTTTGTATGTTAGGTTTAGTGTCCTAAACATTAATTTTCCATGTGCAAAATAATTTCCCTATACATGTCTCAGATTTGTCCTTTTTGATGACCAAATAATATTCCATTCAGTATGGATACCAACAAATTTCTGTATTTTAAATATTGCCACTGTGAACATTGGCAGGCATTTATTGATGTAACATGATGTCTTGATCTCCTTGGAGAAATTACATTGAAGTGGATATATGGGTCATATGGAATATCCAATTTTAGTTCTGTGTTATTTTTATTAGTTCACATCTACACCAACAAGGTAGGGAGGTCCTCTTCACAACAGCCTTATCACAATTTGTTATTGTTATTTCTTTATTTCTTGACCATGACCATTCTGTCTGGAGTATGATATAATTTAAGTGTTATTTACATTTATATTTCCATTGAAGCCTAAAGTGTTAATCATTTTTTCTTATGTAAGTTGCCCATTTGTTCATTTCACTTTTCTGTTTCTTAACTGAGTCTTTGGTTTTAGTTGGTCTAATTTCTTTGAGTTATTTATGCTAGATATTAGTACTCTGTCTGAGTAATAGCTCCCAACAAAATTTTACCATTGAGAGAGTCATCTCTTCCCCTACAACTTGATTCGTTTGCAGTTTTTGAAACAAGTTCTCATTATGTAATTCAAGCAGAACTTAATATCCAAATGTAGCCCAGGCTAGCCGTCAACTCATCACAAACCTCCTACTTCAGCCTTCTGAGTGCTGGGATCACTGGCATGCACCACCATGCCCAGTTGATATATATAAAATCCCATTTGTTGATTATTGCTGTTATTTGTTCTGAAACTGTGGTTCTGTTTAGAATACCCTATCCAACAGCTCTGATACTGTTTTATTTATTTTATATTCTGGTAGGTACAATGTTATGTTCTAAGCGTTCCTTCTAAAGTCAGGAATGAGATAATGATGCCCACTAATGACACTTCAGCGTAGAACTTGAAACACTAGTTAGAGAAATCATTCAAGAGTTAGAGACAAACAAAAGGAATACATATAAGAAGGACAGTAGTCATACTGTCATTATTGGAAGATGACTTTATATTCTACGTAGAAATCCAAAGTAGTCTACCAGAAATACTTATTACTAATAAACAGTTTCAGCGGTTGCCTTCATTATCTTTCTGATTCCTGGTCATATTACTAGATTACTAGATACTCTATTAGCAGGTGAAATTTATTTATCTTTCACCTTGTAGATGATTTGGACCATAATTGGCTGGTTCCAACAAGGTGTGGTAGTATGCAAAAGAGGCTGGGCCAGGAGGATCACCTTAAGTTTGATGGCAGCTTGGGCTACAATTGAGTTCAATGTCAGCCTGAGCTGCATAGTGAAATCCTGTCTCAAAAATACAATGAAATAAAGAAAATTTTTTCTCTATAGTGTAAGAAAATTAAAGAATATACTGAATTTATTATCGGCAATAGATATTGTGAAACTGCTCAAAAAGAAAGAAGTGGGACCGGGGAACATAGAAAAGAAGGAAGGGAAACAAATGAAAAACAAAAAAATTCAAGGCTATACGTAATTGACTAGCTGCAAGGCAGAGTGGTTTGGTAGTGAATGGTTCATTGTTTCCAAAAACAGCCAAAACTAGGAAGATAGAGGGCACAACTTCTTTGTGTACCTTATAATTTATTCAGGTCACCCACCCTATAGTGATTGTAGCACTCACACCTTTAACTCCAGTGTTGGGCCAAAAATCCATCACAAAGTCTATTCAGCCAACTCTGAAAAGCCCAAACTCTACAACTACATGAGGCTTTACAGGGACATCTAGAAATAATCCATGAGGACAATGTAGCAGGATGTAAGATCAACACACAAAAATCATTAGCATGGTAGTAAACAGGAAAAACACAGTGGCTTCTAGATGAATGAAATTCCTAGGAAATAATGAAAGCAAGGAAATGTAGGAACCCAACAAAGAAGCAGCAGTGCTCTAAAAGGAAGAGTCTGAAGAAGACGTCAGAAAATGAAAAGATGTCCTTGTTCCTGAAAATGCCAAAACACTGTGGCCAAATAGCTATACTCCTGAAACTGCTCTATAGATTAGATACAGTCACAATCAAATAACAACAGTATACTTTACAGATGTAAAGAGAACAATCCTATTATTCATGTGAAAACAATGTTGGGCAACAAGGGTAAAGCAACAGGCATCAAAATACCTGATTTCAAACTACACTACAAAGTTAATCATAGAAACAGCATGGTAATAGAAAAGCAGATATGTGGAACAGAATGAAGAGCAAAGAAATATCACTAGACATATTCAGCTATTTGATCTTTGAAAAAGAAGGAAAACCATAGGCTGAAGGAAAAATATTTTATTCAACCAGTGGTGCTGGACTAGTGGGAAGAAGATAGCATGGTAAGTAGTAGAGAATACAGACTCTCTGAGAATAACCACCAAGAGGCTGGAATATAGCATCCTGAAGAAAACTAGAAGGAAGAAAGTGGATCCCCCGACCCAGGAAGAACTGAAAACATGAATTGAAGCCCACAGAGAGAAAAAGAAAAACTTCAATAAACAATGCAGTAGCTGTTGGCATCCTCTCCCTGGTAAAGGACTCACTGTGTGAGAGGAGCTGTTTGAGCCTGGGAATGTGGGGACACGGTAACAATGATAGCTGGTGACAGAGAAGGCCTATGCAAATAGACACTGCGGTACAGGGGAGAAGCAGATGTGTAGGACTGCACTGGATCATGGTGAGTGCTGAGAACTTAGTCCTCCCACAGGGAGACAGCAGTCATCTAAGAGCCAATTTAGAGATGAACTGGATAAACTCAGATCTGAGAACTATTGCTGGCTACCTGTAGCAGCTTGTAGCTGTGCACAGACCCATAGAAACTGATTGAACTGTGGCAAGCCCAGTGAATCTGGACTTAGGGCAGGCCTATTGAGATTATCGACTACTTCATCATAAATCAACTTCTGGACTACTGGGTTGCTGGGATAGATTGTATTATTTAGAACTCTGCCTCCACAGCTTGTCTACTAGTGAAACCAGAAGGAATTTTGTAAGTGGACTATTTCTTTTTCTTTTTCATTTATTTTTTTTCTTTTCCTTCATTTTTTATATATGAGTGTGGAAGTGGATCCTAACCTCTTAGTGGATGTGAGTCTGTTCTTTTCTCCCCTTTATCTCTTCAATTTTTCTTTTTCTTCAATCTTCTATACCAGTTCCCTCAAGCTGACGTCACTCCCTTTTGTCCTCCAGCTTTACTTCTGATATCTTTCTCTTCTTCCACTTCTGAATTTTCTCCTTAATACATTTCAAATTTTAAACCTCAAGGAAAAGATTGTCACTTTGCAGACTTACATACTGCATATAATTAATGGATTTGTTTCACATTTTGTTATACAATCATAAATCTAGTTCATATGGTTCAAGGTTGCAAGCCTTTTTCAACTGTCTGTTTTCTTATTTTCTAATCTGTGCTTGATACTATTGGTACCACAATAGCTAAAATTGACATAGCTCCTTACACAGCTGTCAATTCTCATAATTCATGACTAAAATTAACTAGTGATGACAGAAAATATGGTGGCACAGTGCCAAAGAATCAGGAACAAGGCCAAACAAGCAACTTCTCATCTCCAATAATCTGACGAGGTTAGATCTTCCAACGGACCCAAAACTGAAAACCAGCAACACTTGGAATATAATCTCAGAGAGATAATCATCACCTAAGGATTCTAAATACTATGAACAAAGCACCAGGGATTTAGCTCAGCAGTATAAATTCATACCTGGGAAGCACAATGTTATGAATTCAATCCCAACTACCAAAAATAAAGCTTTCAAAAAAGCATCCCATCATACTCAACTTAAAAACATCACCCCTGAAATTGAACTTAAAAAAAGAAAGAAAATAAGAAAAGACATATAAGCAAAATGCAACCTCAGATATGTAGTTCACCAAAGGTAAATCTAAGAAGCAATAAATTGGGAAAATCCAAAAGCCCACACAATGTCTCTCTGAAGTGGAAACAAAAAAAGAATTT